GTAATGTGGTGGCTGGAACAGCCTCCGATGGCCCTTAACAACCGAGAAATAACCTTATTTTGGGTTGGTTGAGTTCTAACTCATTTCTCTTACTTCTAAAAATGTATTGCATTTCGCTTAAGACTTTAGATCAAGTGTATGCAGATAGAAACGAGAAAAACACCACTAAACACTTTGAAACTCTCATGTGTTCTCATGTTTCAGGGTTTTGCTTCAAAAATATTTTCTATGGATTTTAATGAGTTCTAGACAAGTTTGAGGTCACTCCTAGGTCCTTTAGATGTCTAGGAGCAATTCTGAAAAAATGTTTATAGGCTCGGATTTCTTTAAAATCTCATTATGAACTCGTGTTTCAGGATTTTGTTATCATGTGGGTTCGGTTCTTTCTTTTGAGTTACAAATTTGTTTTGCACCATGTTTAAGGTTGTTAGGAATAACTCTTAACATCCTTATTTCATTGGAACTTATGTTGGTGTCTAGAACCAAGAAACGATAACCCTTTTCCCGAGTCTTATCACGAAATTCACAAACCAAAGAGTTATACTTTGGAACCCTTTTAATCCTTGAAATCTGAGTTTTAGCTAAAGTTTTACTGTTAAAAATATAAGCCAGATCATGTGTTTCAAGTTGGATGGATGTGAGTGTTTAAAACGAGAAGTAAGACCCTAAGCATATGTTTGGGATCATTCATGCCCTAAAATTGAATAAAAGATGAGAAAAAAGCATGTATGGGTACCTAACATGATAGTTCAAGGAAGTCTTGAGAAGTAAAAGTAAAAATAAGTAGAGTTATTTAGTATGGGTTGTAGGGTGCAGAAAGGGAGAAGTTTGTCCAACTCGTGATAGTAACGTTGTTAGGATTCTGCTTGCTAGAATCAAGTGAGTCTTCTCACTATGCTATATAGGATGCTAGATTATCTTTATGAATTTTGCATGAAAGACCATGGGATGACTATGGTATTTGTATGAAAGACAATGGGAGGACTATGGTATTTATATGAAATACCATGGGAGGACAATGTCATTTGTATGAAAGACCATGGGAGGACCATGGACACTATACAGAAGACTATAGAAGGGCCATAGCAAATAAGATTGTAAGAGAACTGCAACAACGAAAGTGATTGTAAGACTGTGCGAGGACCATAAAAATTGATATGTTTTGTATTGGTATGTATGATATGTGGTATTTTGGGGAACTCGTTAAGATTTGTGCTTACGGGTTCATGTTATAAATGATTCAGATACTTCTGGTTCCAAAGGAAAGGGCCCAACTTGATTGCACTGCATCCCCTGGAGTTTTATTCCACACTATCTTTTTATGATTTACTCTGATGTTTGAAAATATATTACGCTTTGGTTATCTTTGAACAATGAATGAATGTTTAGGGTTGTTATTAAAATGAAAATTTTACCTACCATTTTGGGACGTTACAATAAGGTTTTGGGGTAAAACCTTTAGCCACTACGCGGTAGGTTGTTGACCGTGGTGTGGCAATGTCGCTTAAATGATTGAAAGTTAGGTGTTGATCGCGATGTCGTCATGTATCCACCATGACACGGTGGTGGCAAAGCTCTAAACCCTAGATATCGGGGTGTCGGCCTATTTAAGCAATATGTTGATTAGGGTTTTGTCTCATTTTCAGCCTCCCTCTCCCCAGAAGCAAGTCATGTCCCTTGTTGTGTTCTTAAAGAGTGTTTTGGTGTATTTTGGTGGAGAGATCAAGGTGTTGGGGTGTAAGCAAGCAAGATCCATAGATTATACAACATTTTCTTCAGTTATGGACCTTTGTAAGTATCAAAGATCTTTGCTTTCTTGAATTCCATGCATAGATCTAAGTGTTATTTCTTATTGATGATCTTTTGGTCCTATATCTCATGATTACTTGGAGTTTGGAGTAGGGATATTTATTATTTCGAAAAACCGAATTGTTCGGTTGGATAATTTGGATCAGACTATTTGGTTCAGATATTCAGATTTTTGGATTGATTTTCAACAAAACTAAATTATTATTTTGGATTGCGGATTAGTTTTGTTTTATAAAATAAGAACTGAGTAGTCAAAAAAACTGAACAACTGTTTATTATTTATTTATTTTTAATATATATCTATAATTATTTATTAATTATAGTAATTTATTTTTTCAAATAGATTTAAAAAGTTTCACCTAATAAAAAACTTTAAAATGTGTTTTCTCTCAAAAGTTTCTTATCTTTAATATATTAAACTATAATGTATTTTTTAGTAGTTGTTTATAAATTTTAAACTACAAAAAAATATTTTATTTTTTTTATTTTTGTATGAAGTTGGCTAACATTCTAATTATATGTGATTTTAAAATGTTCTAGTTTTTTAAAACCGAATTACAAAAATCGATCAAACCGAATTGTAATTTGGTTGGATTGGATTGGATCCGATTTAAATTTAATTTGGATTATTTGGACCCATATTTTGAAAACCAAAATTAAAGTTGGATTCACTTGATTTGATCAGATCAAACCGATCCATCCAAATGAACATCCCTAGTTTGGAGAACTCTGGTGGATATTATTGTCTTGGTTTTAGTTCTGGACTATTTTCATGTTATAAAGTTGGGTTCCTGAACCCTTTCCAAGCCATTCTTGTCTTGATGGTCATTTTGAGTACATTTGAGAGCTAGGGTTTGAGTTTTGGACTTAGCTTAATGGTGTAATGGGTAAAGTCAAGAACTTTATCCATTGAGTCCCTTAGAAGCTTCATATTTAAGCTTTTGATCTCTGCACATTAAGGGTTAAGTGCTTAATGGAATAAGTTTGTTGGGAGTGTTAACAACGACGCAATGAGTAGCTAACTGCGGCGTGGTTTCGCATTTCACGCTTGTCTGTTTTTCATTTAGTGACTGTGACATAGTCACGAGGTTTAGCCACAACATGGTGGTCATGGAAGGTTTGACTGCTGACTTTTGTCATGGTTGACTTTTGGTCAAACTTGGGTAGAATTAAGTATTTGGCTAAGGAATGGTCTCGGGTTGGTATTAGGTAGCTTGTGTTAGCTGTTATGTTGTTGAGGTTGTTGTCGAGCTTCTGTTGTTTAGCTTAGGTGGGTTTTCTCACTATATTTTGTACTATAGTATGGATCCTCTCTATGTTAGGATGTTGTTATATTGTAGTGATCCGTTAGACAGATAGATTTGTTAATAATTGCATGTAACCGGTTGTTTGGTTATTGTCTGGTATTGTATATGTTAACATATTGTGGGTAGGTTGAGGGCGGTCCATTTGTATGCTAAAAGTCAAAGATACTTGGGCTGTCCAGTTTATACTGTAGGCCCAAAGAGAGCGTCCAACTTAATGTTGTAGGGTCAGGAGGCCGTCCAGCACTGTGTTGAAGACCATGGTGTGCATGCATTGTATGTGTATATTGTTGTGTGAGGTATCTTAGGGAACTCATTAAGCTTTGATTTACAGTTGTGGATTAACTGTTTTTCAAATACTTTATCAGTTCGTAGGAAAACTAATGCATGACTGTACACACTCATCTGCAATTTGATGATTTGAGATTCCATGATATTTTTCCTTATAACTATAATTTTGAACTAAGATTTACAAACAAAGGGTTTTGCCTTGAATATAATTTTATGAAAATGTGTGTTTATTCTAGTTTAAAAATAAAAAAAAATTATTATGAAAATTAGGACGTTACAGATAAATTGTTACAATCACATAGATTAATCTTTCAAGCCTCCCCAAAAACAATTACACTCTCCTTAAGTGCTAACTATCAACTTCTAAACACTAAAAGAAAGATTAAAAATTTAAAAAATTAAAAAATTAAAAAAAAAAAAGAACCAAATACTTAAGTGTATTTTGGTAGGATGCATTGAAACCAAAGCTTTAGATTTCTTTTTATAAGCGTGGAGTCCATTCACAATTTCATCCCAATAGCAATGTGGATGGCTAGCCTTTTTTCATATAGCAAAAAACTAACTTTTTGGTTTTCTAAAGGAGTAATTGGGTTGAAGCTTAATTGGGTTGGGTGGCTTCAAAATCCAAAGAATATTGTAAACACTTTGTAATTCTTTACTTAGTGTCCTGCTATTGGTTTTTAATTGCATGATACCATTCCAAACAAAAAATAGACTCGTAATAATAACTTAGTTTGGAAGTCAGGGAGTTTCGAAACAATTTTGCAATAGTTTGCAACAATTCGCAACTGTCGGTGAAAGAAGGTTTTGAAAAAGTTATTTCATAAAAAGCAATTTCAAAACTCATTATGTATTTCATATTTGACAAAAGTTTCGAAATTAACGATTATGTTATGCAAGCGAACGTAAAACAAAAGAAAAAAAAATGACAAATGAATTAATGTGGTTTGATCGATATGACCTAGGTGATTATATTGAAATCTCTAGGTAAAATTTTTTTAACCGACATGCTAACAATTATTGGGTCGAATTAATATACAGAAAAATCCAGAATAACAAATAGTTATCATTCGAAATCATCAATCGGATTTTTTCACTTTGTTGTTGACTAGGTTACTCATTCGAGCCACCAAATTTCAAGTAACATCCTAACAGATTATTTGTAGTATTTTTATAAAAGATGGTCAAAATATTGAACAAAAATTTAGAGAAAATGGTATGTTTTTTAATGTTCCTTCTTTATATTATTTTACAAAAATTGTTAGTGGCGTGGATACTTAAATTCCCATAATTATATAAATGCTATGAATTTATGTCCAGTACCATCCATATCAACCTATTTACTATAAAGTTAATAAATTCAATTTACGATTAATAAATGGAAGGAATGTCGACATAAGAATGTAGGCTATTAGATATTTCATATATTAATTGGATGAAAGCAATGTAAAGGTCGAGCTTCCAAAGAATACAAGTATATTATTTTGGAAAAAACTTTGTCACTACGCAAAATTTACAATTTAAAAAAAAAGGGGAAAAAAAGAAAGAAAAAACTGCACACGGCTAATTACGCGGTAGTGGAGGAAAAAGAAAGATTTATCTGGTCAACGTTAACCAATAATTGTTTTCTCCATATGGCAATAATCCGAAATATCGACTCGTTGCACTGAGTTGTTTATTTAACTCAGTTGACTCGCTAGCATACTCGATCATTTTCCGACTCACTGATTTCATTTCTGCATATTTCTTCAACCTCATCAGTTTCGAAATTACCTCGCTCACCAATTCCCAATACGATTCATTCCGTTTCCGGTTCATGAACAACTCGGTCAATCTCCCTTTACAACCCTCTAATCTTTCCAAACACCGAGTCAACCCGGCCATCTCGTTGGTCCTAAGATTATGAAGTCTCTCACTCAACTCGGTGAGTCGGATCATCATATGATATTGAATCATACGATAATCTTCTCCTACCAGTCTCATTACCTCATAAACTATGTCATTAGTTTGACAATTCAATGAATTTGTGCTTTACAAATCTCTTCGATTATCAAAACCAATGCTTCAATTTCTTTAAATAAATCCATGTACAAAGAAAATTTTAGTTTTTCTTTCTTTTTCTCGATTTCCATCTTAGATGATGAAAGAAAACAACCTAGGATAGTGGATGTAGACAGGTTGATTTCTAAGAAACTGGCGTACCATTGAGCCCACACTGCAAACTCTCGCGATTGCATGTCAGTATTATCCATAAATCTTGAGAGGTTAAGGGATTCAAAGTCCGTGGTGGACATGGGTTGTAACAATGGTTGTTCCTTGAGAGAAAAGGAACCTCGGGTGATCATGTAGTGTAGGATCAAAAGAGCCTTGAGTGCTACATAAGCATTTGGTTGATGGTGGTGGTGGAGGCGGTGGAGGATGGCGGATATACATGCAGAAGCAGGAGTGGCGTGTGGTGTTGCCGAGGGAGAGGAGGGTGGAGACATGGTGGTCATGCGGTGGCGATTGGGATGAGCGATTGGTGGCACGGAGGACGGCAATTTGGATGGAGGAGGTGGTTCGATTGGTGATTGAGAACGTTGCTTTGATGATTTTTGCTTTGTCTTTGCAAATTGATTGGAGATTTTTGAGTTTCTTCGATTGTCCCATTTGGGTACAAATTTGCAATTATTTTGTGGGTGTTTAAATTTCTAGTTATATAGTCGCGTGGCTCGGAAAAGTATCATTCAGTTATTCAAATAATAAAATATATGGAATAATAGGATATTTAATTAATAAAAATGTGTGAGTGTGGAGAATTGTTCAAACTTCAAACGCTATTAAGCAAAGACATGATACCGAAATTACACGGAGAAAAAAAACAGAAAAAGACAAATCAT